CCAATATTTCTTTGTGCAAGTGCCACTACACTCATATCAATATACATCTACTCACAGTATATTAAACTCTAAATTAATAATTCATAAAATACGTTTTTGTATTCAATAAACATTTAATAGTAACAATAATACTTCCTCCAGTTCATAAATAAAAACATGGTTCATATTAAATTCATCGTCGGATGGGGATTACATTAAGCTATAAAGAGTTTTGTTTAATGGTCGGTAATTGGTCGGATAACATAATTTTTATTGGCATTGTCTCGGCTAGGTAACGATCACCACTACCTCTGGAACTGTTTTATTTCGTGTTTGAATTTTGTTGATTTTCAAAAACACAAAAGAGGAGGTTATCAATTCGTCTATATTTTTTTGTATGTTTGTTACGCGATATCTCCGTGAATTGTGGACAGATTTTCAAAATTATTTTGTAATCGAAAGGGTATGCTCTCGAAGTGGTCCCATTATCACCAAATTAGGATCTGATGATGGGATCCTAAAGAAATCGAGGGAAACCCTTTAAATTTTACAGCCCCGACAACGTGTTTTAGCTTATTTCTCTAGCTTCTTTACAGCTATCAGTCCAGTCCAGTTCAGTACTATACAGCTAGAAATATACCTGTATACGTTTGTTATTTAGATCTCTCAAAAGCTTTTGACCTTGTTAATTATGATTGTGGCAGAAGCTACAATGTGATACGAATCTACCACGTGAGATTGTATCTCTCTTTAAATATTAGTACAGTAAGCAGAAAAATAGGGTAAGATGGTCCTGTACAGGTTGGAGTGCGGCGTGAGGAAAGCTGGTATATCCTCGCCTTATCTCTTTAATCTGTATATGAATGGGATGATCGGTGAGCTCAGTAGCACAAACATTAGTTGTCCTATTGATGGTGTGTGCATAAATAATATAAGCTACGCTGATGACATGGTATTGCTTAGTATTGCATGGTATTGCCCATCGATTGGTGCACTACGTAGGTTCATAGGTAACTGTGAGACATATGCGGCGAGTCATGGTCTTAAGTATAATGCCAAAAAGAGTGAGTTTATGATCTTAAAACTGGTACCAAATGCTACTCAATTGTACCTCCAATTACCCTTTGCATAACTCCTGTAAAGAGAGTAAATAAGTTGGGCAGTACCTTGGGCACTGGGTCGCCGATGACTTATCAGACGACCTTGATATTGAGAGGGGGTGCAGGATACTGTCTGTCCGGTGTAATATGTTGACTCACAGGTTTACACGTTGTGCCACACCAGTCAAGGTTACTCTTTTCAAAGCATATTGGCAGTCCTTGTACACGTGCAGCCTGTGGACTAACTTTCCGCAGCGGGCGTACAGCGCACTACCCGTCCAGTACAACAATGCTTTCAGGGTGCTATGATGTCATATAATTTCTCTAATCGATCTTATTGGCAGTCGTTCAGAGTAGCTTATGTAGAGTAGTAGATGAGGAAACTTAATACGGTATACTTCTTTAATAAAACTTTTTAAATTTAAAAAAAAAACGTGTGCGCCCGACAAAAGGGATAACTTAAACTAATCTAAGATGAACTATTTAATATTGAAATAGTTTAACTTGAGAAAACCTTAGGTTATTACTTAAATTTCATGTAAAGCGTGAGAGAGGAGGAGCCTGCCTACCGCTACCGTATGAGTGCGTGAGCTGGGTGAAAGAAAGGGAACCAGATAGACTGGCGCCGTAACGCGTTACGTAACGAAGCGGTTTACCCTCCCATAAGATATAATTGCATGTGTACGCAGATATAATTTTAAAGGTTTCACCCGCGAAAAATATAGATAAAAATATTTGAATGGAAACTTTCCCTTTATGGTTTAGTAAATTGTTTATGGTCTGTATTGGTTGGTTTCAAGACAGACGGCCATCGATGGTCAGCAAGTTCTACATTTGCGCTATTTCTTGCTCTCATCACGATTCTCCATTTAGATTTTCAAAATCTAAGTAAATCGTTATTATATTAAGGAAAGTTGTCTTTGAGAAATTTTGCTAGTGGAAAATATTTATAACTAGCTGACCCGCGCAACTTCGTCTGCGTCTCTCAATAATAATAAATTTTCTCTGTTTTTGAAACATACATCATTGGTGCTCCGCTCCTATTGGTCTTAGCGTGATGATATGTAGCCTATAGCCTTCCTCGATAAATGGGCTATCTAACACTGAAAGAATTTTTCAAATCAAACCAGTAGTTCCAGAGATTAGCGCGTTCAAACAAACAAACAAACAAACAAACAAACTCTTCAGCTTTATAATATTAGTATAGATGAATGGCAGATGGAAATTCCTAAACCAATATACCCTTAGGCTAGTTAACGAGATGTGTGACGCACAACATAATATCTTTACTGGATCACTGGTCAAGTCATTAACGAAATAAGTAAAGGGTTTTTGGATGGATGGTTTTGAGGTAAGGATGCTGGCTAGACACTGTTACTTTGAAATAAATCTGTGGTTCTCAATTTCCCATAAAACAACTTAAACAGCATCCTGCGACAGTTCCCGATAGAACTTGTGGCTTTGTAAAATAATATTGCTACTTGAGCAAACTACTTAACCCTAGCTTAATGCCAGAAGTTGGTGATGCAATGTGATATAAATTGAAAAATAAACAAGATAACCTTAATAAATATTAAGAAAAAATCAAAATTTCTAAAGAGTAGAACGGGTTTCTTAAATGATGCCAAATAGATACTTTTATTTACGTGTGATTATTCCCAGACACGAACTTAAACGAAAATCGAATGAGTCACTATCGAGTAACTATCGGTAGGGGTCACGTCTTGCTGCGGGTCAATAAATAAATAAATCTCCAAGCTGCCGTTTTTTAGCTTATTTTTCATTAATATCGTAATTATGTGAGTTGGCATCGAAAACAAACCGCAATTTAGTGGCCAGCCTTAATGGTTTAGGGGTCAATTATAGGCGTCATAATAATAATGTTGAGCAATCTTTAGCCTTAATACTTACTCAGGTTAGTCATTCGCTGATTGTACACCATTTTATTTAAACGTTCATTGATTTTGCTCGTTTTTACGTTTTTTAGAGTGGGATTTTCTGATTCTGCCTGACATCATTTAATTCCAATAAAATGTGGGTTTATGGGTATTAATTTCATGAAAATTTAATGGTTTGTAAAATATTTTTTCTCTGAAATAGATTTGTTCTATATTATTAGGAAGTAACGTGTATTATCATATCCGATGACGTATTTTGTGGCTAACTCAAATTATTCGGAGAATAGTCCCATCTCTCATCGAACATTTTCGTTTCAACGATTTGAGATTGAAATAACTGCAGGTACTAGCAGTGTAGACATAGCACTTCTTTATCATATATTATGTACTTTTTTTATTATTTTCCTAAATATATTGTTTTTATTGTATTACGTTTTCAACGAATTATTGAGCCAGGCAGCAGTTAGAATTTTCGTAATTTGTTTGTCCGTTACAATTTTGTCTTTTTGCAGATACATGTGGCGAACAACAATTTAATTAAATAAATATAAATATATAATATATATAATAGTATAAATAGTTTTAAGGTGAATAATACAGATTAACATCTTATAACACCGAAATAGATTAATAGTAATTGTCAAATCAAGAAATATAACTTAACTTTTTTTATAAGTTAATAAGACATTTCGAAAATTAGTTAATACTTATAGTATCTAATGTAGATAATATGACCTAATAATCCTAAACCTATGCAGTGATAGGAATTGTAAACCTTATGCAAAACTGATTAGATAAGTACGCCGTTAACTATTCAGTGCTTTAAGTTGATTTGCGATTTTTTAACCTTTCTTTTATATATAATCTACATCCTGTACGTGTTTAGAGCCATGACATTTCAAATATTGTGTTCTTCGGTGCCTATAGAAAACGAAATCTTATTTTTGTTCGCGCTCCCGCGTTTGCGAGCCGAACACGTCATGTAACATCACTTATGAATGACTGAACCGATAGTCAACTAACTATCGATATTACGATTATATTGATGAATTTGTGCGTGTCCGTGTGTGAGTATTGAAGCTTCAAGTGTTGACAATGTGTCGTATAAAATTTTAATAATAGTGAATTGTTTTAACATCTATTTCAACCAAATCGAAGGGCTAGATGTATAGGCTATTTGTATGCGTGTGTTAAAATTATGTTTTTTCACTGTTTCTTCTATGAAAACAATATTAGTAGTTGTTTTTTTGAAGTGATAACTTCTTGTGGGAGGGTAAACCTCTTCGTTACGTAACGCGTTACGGCGCCAGTCTGTCTGGCTTCCCTTTCTCTCACGCACACGGCAGCGGTAGGCAGGCTCCTCCTCTCTTACTCTAACAGACAGCGGTAGCCGTATTTCAGACAGACGCTTTACATAAAATTTAAGTAATAGGCTTTTCTCAAGTTAAATGAATATTTTTTCCACCTTGCAACATTTTTTATTAATGGTCTGTCCCTATTAGTGGTAGCGTAATGGTATATAACCTATAGCCTACCTCGATAAACGGACTATCCAAAACTAAAAGATTTTTTTAATTCGAACCAGTATTTTCTAAGTTTAGGGCGTTCAACCAAACAAACAAAATTAGTATGGTAGGTGTATTAATATCATCTTCTTTTTATTATAATGAAATGCATGACCCTCAATTTTCTTCACAATTATCGTTATCACTCGTCATTAAATCTTTTTAATATATCCTTATTCTTTCCTCAACCATACTTACTGATGCCTGATTTATTGTGATGACCGTGTGTTCCTCGCATATAAAATTTCGCAATCGACACGAATTAAGATGATGTTATCGGCTGTGCATCTTAATTCTGATGTGCAGCTATATTATGAATATTCCATTAGGCATTTGTGAATCTCAGGAATTTTATAATAAAAGAACCTACACATACTTGATTGAGTATACTAAAGTCCGGTTATATACAACCTGTAAAAATATTTTGATTGTACTCGTATGTTTGAATAAAACTATTTTCAAGTTAACCCTACCTCTTGAATGAACTTTGGTGTTTCAGGCAACTGCGTGAAACTGGAGAGAAGAATATTGGGTTCATTCAACACCAGAACATCTTCTAGCTCCCGTTCGCCACGGTGTTGTGGCCTGCGGATCAGGCGGCTTAATCCTGATGGGTTCTCGTAGATATCCTTTTTAGGGTATCCTGGGTCCCCTATTTAATGTCGTGTCTATTGGTTCGAGTACCTCTTCACTTTCTACGGGGGTACAACAACGAAGAAAAAAGAATTGCGATAAGTGGGCTTACGTACCTATCAGCAAAACATTATAATATTTTTGTATATAAATGTACATTTTAGAATATACGTATTAGTCTGTGACATAAAAGTTATTATTAATTATAAGTTATTATTTACCTTTGCCAGATTATATTTTATTTAATAATAAATGTTATTTTTTACACGGGTACCTACTTATTTTTTACGGGACCTGTTGTTGACACTAAATATAAGTATCGTGAAAAATAATCATTGTTGTGTTCTTTAAATAATAATAATAATAATAATTTTATTTATTAAGGTATAACACAGACTTAAATAAATCACCACCACCAATATAACACAGACTTAAATAAATCTAACTAAATTAAATCTAAAACAATTAAATAAAATCAATTTCAATTATTTCAAACATAAACAAAATAGAAATTATATCAAAATTAAACTACAATGAAATTCAATCATAAAAATAATCAGCCAAAATATACAACATCTGATACTTACGAAGTTTTTAAAAAATTATAAAAATAATTAATTTATTCCACTTCACTCGTCGACACTTTTACTTATTTATAAAACCGCCATCTAGCGGTCAATTGTAAATCTACACAGGAACTAAGACCTTTCAAACTTAATGGTTAGTAAGTGGTTACGTTTCCTATAAATACTAATAGAGGGCAGGTTTAGCAGGAACGCTCAGCTCAAAGATGTTTATTTTAGAGATGTTTGTTTATGTTTAGAGATATTAGATTGGATGGTAAAAAGCTCGAGACCAATTGCATACGGACGTAGTTCGGACAGTTAAGTCAAACAGAGCTAAAAAAAGTTGACGTAAACTTCGCATTTATGTACCTACCCCTATTTATTTATTATATTCCTCTTCAGAGAAGTATATTCAAGATATTTGCACGGGATTAGTGCAACCCGATCGAAACTTCGGCCAATTTAAGAGTACGTAAACCTAAGTATAAGTCCTCTTACATAAGAGCGTTAAATCTCAAATACGTCATAATATATATAAAGAAAGGCAAGCTTAAAAGTTAGAAGAAAATAGCAAAATCCACATAAATAAGAATAAAGGTAAGTAGGTAATGCTTTATGTTTTATTCATCTAAAGGTTATGAGATTCATATTGCACACGCCAAGGACAATGAATGAAATCCAGACCTTTGATTAGAAAAATTAAACCGTGTGATGTTACTGTTGACTATCTCAAGATGTTATTATTTTTTGTTTATTTATTTCTAACATCATCATCATCATCAACAGCCTTTAATAGTCCACTGCTAGACATAAGCCTCTCCTTAGAAAGGAGCTTTTGGCCTACGGCCTGACAGGTTGGTATAGGGTTTGTGTCAAGTTCTCCTTCTCTTTGCAGTGCTGGTGTCCTGCGTTGTTTTGCGTCCTTAGTCAGCTCTTACAACACCCACGGGATGAATTGGGGTAGTGATATTCCGTATTCTTAATCCGTCACAAAAACATTAAATTAATGCCTATCCTAATGTCTGTCTGTTACACTTCCACGCTTTCGCTCTCTTTCAAACCGCTGATCCGATTATAATGAAATTTTGCATGCACGTTCTTTGACAAGGAAGGACAAACATATACAACAAGGCAAAAACTGATATAAATACGCTCGGAGCCCTGGGCAAAAGCTAGCGCCCGCGTGTAACAGACGCGTGCGTAACACATAGACGGAGATCTTTACTTTCGAATATATCTGAGAATCTTCCATCATTTAAGAATAAAACAGAAAAATACACCTACCATTACCGCCATTGACATCTTACAAATCTTTCCTTTCATATTGAACTTCCAATTTTCCTATCTTATTCCTATTAAGGCAGTGGAAAAGTTATAGTCAATATAGCTATTTATCCCGTGGGTGTAGTAAGAGCCGACTTAGGGAACGAAGTATGCAGAACAACAGCACTGCAAAGAGGCGGAAAACTTGACACAAACCCTATACCAGCCCATCTGGCCAGCGTGGTATACCTAGTAGGCCAAACCCTCATTTCTAAGGAGAGGCCTATGTCCAGCAGTGGCGAATTAAGACTGTCGATAATGATGATGACTCCTTCGCTGAGATAGGCGTTTGAGTTAATAATTGCAAAAAGCATAGGAAAAAACGGAAATTCTCAACTGTAACCACTTAACTTCACTTACCATTAAATTAGGACTTTGTAGTTGTAGTAGGCTTAAAGTAAAACGCTAATATTACGGGAAAGTCATTTAATATTTCCTTAACGACCTGATTCACATTCCGTTATCTAACTTAAAGCCGAAGGCTTATATCACAGTTATCGGCACCAGACGACACTCCTACAACACGTATCACAATCAAATCTTATCATAGAACAAATACATGAGAAATCACATAGCACCTAATGATTAGTAATAAGTAGTTCTTTGTTTAAAAATCAAGTTAACACACTAATTTCCTTAGTTATTTATTTTAATATTTTATGCACAAGTGTGGGTTGTACAACTGCGGACTTAATGCCACAGGCATTTTCTCCCAGTTTACCGTATGGTGGTGCTAAAATATGTGACTAGGTGCACTAGACATGGATAAGTAAAGTAAACGAAAATTATTGAAAAGTTAGACAGAAACACTGAGATAAATAGATACATACAAACGTACCAAATACATACACATATCTACATAAATACTTACCTAGTTAAATACATACATAAACCTACATATTGATAATATATAAAACTTTAAGGTTGTTATGAATCTAAATTTAATTATCCCCGACATGCGGCAAAACTTCTCTGTAAATTAAAATACATAAAGAAACTTAACATTACTGACTGTAAATGTAAAGTGATGCACGGAATCCCGTTATTTAAATGCTAGAAAAATTTGTCTCAGACTACGATAACACGACCTACATGTAGGAAGGTACATTTTTTTTTTTTATAAAAGCTATTCTTTCAAAGGAGATATTAACATGGTATTGATATAACAAAGGTTTATAAGCTACTAAAACTACGTAAACGTATGATATCAATAATTTTGTAGTGACAACCAAAATTTAACTTTTAATGAAAACTGTCAAAATTTTCGTTCAGCTAATCCAACAATTATTCTTAATTTGTACGGAACAAGCTTTGCGTGAGTCAGATTTACAATTTTCAAATTTTTATCATTATGTATGTATCAACACATTTTTAAACTCAGGGTTACTACGAATCCAAATCAAATCAATATGTATATTAAATTCAATAGTCCAATAGATTTCGTAAGGATTAAAGTACCTATTTAAAACTAGGTTTACTGTATTCAGAAACCGAAGAAGAAAATAAAATTTTATAAAATTGGAAAACTCGTCCACCATATTCAATAACCAAAAGACAATGAGATCCTTTAACTCTGCTATATAGAGATCCAAATTAAAACACTATTGAACAATGTAGGTTTACATCATACGACTGTAATATTTTAGATACACACACAATACATCGTTTATTCAACAATTTTAAAGAGGCCTCTCAATTTTTTTTAAACGGGTTGTCTTATGGTATACATTTTTTTTTCTTTTATGTTAGAGGGGGCAGACGAGCAGACAGGTCACCCGATGTAAAGTGGCCATCTCCGACCATGAACGAAAGAAAAATAAAGGAGATAAATAGAGATAGAAAAATTACATGACATTGACATTGCATTTTGTCTCTTAAATCCATTCAATACATATTATGATGGACAACTGAAAACAAACTTGCTTTACTTACAAGTGAAGTAATCTACTTCTTCAACACAAGTATCACATTGAACGAAACAACAGTTTACCATTTTACATCTGCATCTAGAACTCACATTCTTTTTGCCAGTAATATGACCTCTCCCACAACACAACGTGGCACAATTATGTCTATCCTTACAAATTCTACCTTTAGTACTAATACACAGATTTGGAGTTCTTTGCAAATAGACTAGATTTTTCTTATCCAAACGCAATTTACTTCTAATTTTTGGAGTAATCGCCCTCTTTGTTGTGTAGTTCAAAAGCTTCTTTTTCACGGCATGATGGTAATGCTTCTTCAATAAGCCCATAGCTGAGTTAAATGGTCCAATTCTTTTCCAGCATGTTTTCGTAGTACAAGATCCGGAAAATCCATGGCATTTACAGACCTCTTTCAACTGTTCTCCTATAGTATCTATTCCCACAATGATATCTTGTTTTAAGATTTCGGCAATTTGATCATTCCCAGCGTGTTTAAAATCCAGGAAATTCTTAGTAACTTTTTTCCCATGCCTAAAGTCATCACCACAACCAGCTATTTTCCATGTAGAATTTTTGCCGAATCTTCCCACACACGAACAAGAGGATAGTTTTCCAGATGCACAAGCTTTTGCGACTGAATGAGTTATTGATGCTGCAACTAAAGCATGTATAAAGGCAGTCTCTCTAAATATTTTATTGAATATGCTTCTTTTAGCTTTTCTGTTGAACACAAGCGAGCAATTCCATCTGTCGTATTGAAAAGTTTCTTCACAAGTTGTGATTGCTTGCTCTTTAGCGGTGGCCAGTACTGTCGACAGCCCGGTGTCTCTGTCACACATTTTTGTTTGACGTTTAGCAGCTCGAAGCACTTGGCATGGGCCTGGATACACTTTGGTAGTTCGTTCTTTGAATAAAGCTTCGATTGTTCTTTGTAAGATTGGCTGAGATCTGTAGATTTAGTTAATATATTTTTAAAAAGATAAAATAACATTGGTATCTAATGCTAACTTATAAGTATTTAGTTAAAGTTGCATTGGTAGTAACGTGACTATTTATTTTAGTTGAAACACAAAATCGATCTGAGTGGCGTGCAGTGGGAGAGGCCTAGGTCCAGCAGTACACCGCGATAGGCTGATGATAATGATGAAACACAAAGAATATTTTCTATTGTGATTGATGCTATGAATATCACTAATGAGACTTGTCGGTTCTTTTCATGTCTAGTGTAACACCACAGCTCATTAAACTGATGTTATAATTAATACGGCACATCAGTAGGTAATTACTATGTGTATTACACACAAAGTAATTACTTTCATAGAAATTAATTATGTGTAATATGATAAATTCTTAATGTATTTCTATTTGGTTATGTGAATAGTTTTCAAGACGTCATCGGTGTATGTATATAGGGTACCAGAAGATATTCTTATACCTAAATACTATATTCTAAAACTCATAATTTGTGAAATGCAGTTTAATCCAGTCTAAAACAGTGTCAGAAAAGCAAGTAGAGGATGACCCCATCAACAATGATAAGCTACTGATCTGTGTTCTGAGCTGATGATCTCAATTCTGTTTTTGTAGGATTCCGCAAAAGTCTGATATTAAGTTGCCACAATTATGCACGTACATACAGGACACAGCAAGGTCTTAGTTTTGAATAGTTAAATTCGTGCGTAGTAGTTGCTTTGTAGGAAATTAAATGATCCCATTATTTGACTTCTTTGACGGTATAAATGGGACTAATCCCGCCCACATGCCCACCACTGTAACTCCTGTACACCAGGATCCACAGCAGTGACCCACGAACACACCGAGTTATGACACTCGGGAAGTCCCAGGAAGAAATTAAACTGTCATGGAACCCGCAACGAAATTAATCAGAAGAAAATTGGAGGAGTTGGAAATACAGTAAATCCACTTCCCCCCTTAGCAAAGCGGGAGACAAAATGAAATAAAATGGGCATACACCCTTTTAAACAGGGAAGCACCACGGCCACGAAATATTACGGGTCCTACGTGAGCTATATTTGATTTCTATAATATGTATGGCAAAATCGCCTAAACGCACGGAAATTCACCCTAGTTGACACAAGATCCCCATAGTATACCGCCCCAGATGTCACCTGCAAGGTATTCAGCATTATATTACGTTCATTATACCAAAGACTACATTCCCAGAGGATATGATGAGCAGACTGTTCATAGTGAGAGTTAGGTGTTGACCATTGACACTCAGCATGTTGAGCATTCTTTGACGGTATAGAAAACTTTGTTATTATAGCGAGGAGGACCGCCACAGCAATAGAATCCAGTTGAAATTTTACACTTAGGCACCCCTCCAACTAAACCAATTGAAACTGGCTAAAACTCCAACCTCCTTTGTAAGGAGAAGCCTTTGTCCAGCAGTGGACTACTAAAGGCTGTTGTTGATGATGATGATGATAATGAAAACTCCAATGAAAAAGCTTGTTTCAGTAATGGTTATTTATAGAAAGAAAGCCATGAAAACATAAGGAATATACAAAAGGAATTCGCATTTGTGTATTACTGTAATAATACTGAGAGTGAGGTATTTAAGATGTTTGATATTTTATCTATACTTGAATACTTTTTATTTATAAAGTAGTTATCAAATCTGGTAGATGAACAACTTACCCTTCAACAATTTTAGAAGCAAAAATAGACACGGCACATAACAATAACACATTAAATAAGCAATATCTAAACATGTTTAATATCGAAGGATCACATGGTCACTGTTTCAAAGGCCATCGACGAAATGAAGTTCAGAAAGGCTCAGCTCACAAACCAAGGCGACAATAGTTTATCGATAAAGGGTGGGTCGTCCAAAAATGGTGATGGCAAACGTAGGAATCGGATTGTTTATCCATTGTTCAAATATTGAACCGAGTCATACGTTCACTTTAAAAACCGTCACCTAATTTTAGTTGACTAGTTAAATAAATTTCTTTGCATATACGAATTAGTGTAGTTTTACACGAAAGGGAACGTGTTATCTACGTGTCATTGTCAAACAGCAACATCAGATGATTAATGGTCACAATAATTTATTTTGCAATTCAAAAATTGTTTGATGCTTTTCAAATATTTGATATAAATGACTAGTATACTGGTCTCAAGGATATCTGTATATGTTATAAAATGTATATCATTCTCACTGTCAATATAAACATCATCACATTATCCAAAGCTAACTCTGCGTTTATACGTTATATTGATCTTGAAATGATTGCCACTCACCTTCACCTTCGACCAGGTGGTCAATTCTTGTAATGGTTGGCTATTATCTTGTTTAGTTTATAGTCCACTGTCGTTACCCGACAACCTTACTTCCCAAACGTTCTCTGTTCTCTAATATTTCCTTACGAGATAAAGGTAATTAGGTAAAGTAACAGCCAGCTATCTGTAATATGTCTATTATGGAGAATTGCAGCTATCTCTAAGTAATAACAAGGATAATAGTAAGGTACGATGTTGGGTAATAATCGACAACAGCCTTTAATAGTTCACTGTTGGACATAGGCGTCTCCTTACAAAGGACTTTTGTTTCGAGGTTTTTTTTAATGTTGTATAAAATTGATGATAAATTCCCAACTTCTGTTTTGATGGGAAACTAAAGTAAATAATAAAAATAAATAGGCCAAATGCCTGCTGGATCACTGTTGACTGCTACCTAAACCTTTACTTTTTCTTCTATCATAATCAGTTCTCTTATATCTGTTCTTCTTCTTAGCGTGTCGATGACAATTCAAATTGAGTCGGCCCAAAATTTGGCGACGAGTTTGGCACTTTCAGTAGCCTCCATCAGTTCCTGTGATGTGCAAGTAACAGGGCAGGCTGGACACGATATCAAGTGCCCCATAGTTTGTGGGGCAAGACCACATTTACACTCCAGGGCAGAGTCATCTATGAATCTCCACCTGAACAGGTTTTCTTTGCTTCGGCCTACCTGTGTCCGGAGTCTGTTTAGAGACTTCCAGGTCAGCCATGGCAACTCGTGTCCAGGTGGAAGATTTTCGGCAAGTGGCACAAATGGGTTGGGTAAGGAAACGCTATCTTGCCACAACTTAAGTCTTTCCTTAGAGCGTTCACCAGTGAGCGGGGGTACGCACTTTAAAAAGCTGTTGCGGCTTTTCAGCCTTTGCGGTACTATGATGTTATTGTGTAGGGGGTGTCTAGCGTCGGAGACCATTTTGGCTCTTTCGCTAGAGCTCGCCATCGCTCTGCGAACTACTGGTGGCGCTATGCCTGCCAGTGGATACAGCATCTGTACCGGGGTCGGCTTGAGGCAGCCAGTGATTATCCGGCACGTTTCATTCAGTGCTGTGTCCACTAACTTTGCATGGGCTGAACGACCCCACACGGGACATGCGAATTCACCCGCAGAGAAAGATAGCGCCAACCCAGTAGTCCGCATGACGTCAGGCGAAGCACCCCACTTTGAAGAGACTAGTCGCCGCAAAAGACTATTGCGAGAGTGCACCTTCTGCTTAATGTTATTGCAGTTCTTGCCGAATGTTAGAGACCTGTCCAGAGTAACACCCAGATATTTTGGAAAGTTGCTGTGCTCTATGGATACCCCACCCCAAACGATGTTAAGTTTGCGGCTCGCCTCTCTGTTGCGAAGATGGAAAATGCACGTCTGCGTTTTGCTCGGATTGGGCTTGAGTGAGTTAGCGTGGTAGTAAGTGGCTAAGTCACCAAGAGCGTTTGACAAGGACACCTCAACCTCTTCAAAGGTGGTGGCTTGGGAGGTAAGGGCAAGGTCGTCTGCATAGAGGAAGCGGGAGGTATGTGGGCTGGATGGTTGGTCATTGGTATAGATATTAAATAAAAGCGGTGCCAAGACACTACCTTGAGGTAGGCCGTTTTTCTGTGCTCTCCAACGACTTTTTTCCGAGAGAAGGTGGACTTGAAATCGGCGGTTGTGGAGAAGTTCTCGGAGTATGCGGATGAAATTTTGATCGTTGACCAAGGTTTCCACCTTCCACAACAGCCTCTTGAGGTTGACTGTATCGTAGGCAGCTGATAGGTCCACGAATACAGCACCAGTGACCATTCCTCTCTCGAAGCCATCCTCAATGTGTTGTACCACTTTAAGAGTCTGGTTACTGCAAGACTTCACGGGTCTGAAGCCAGCTTGCTCGGGAATCAGTTTTGGATCAATGACGCCCACAAGGCGGCTCAGCAGCAGTCTCTCGAATAGTTTATATGTGTGACATAGTAGAGAGATAGGGCGAAAGTTTTTAGGATCGTCTGCTGCTTTACCTGGCTTAGGGATTGCAATGATCTTAGATTTTCTCCAGAGACGGGGTATTGAAGCTGATTTCAGGCAGTTGTTGTAAAGTTGCAACAACCACGACACAGCAACTGGGCCAAGCTGTTTTAATTGCTCGACTGAGATGTCGTCGACTCCAGAGGCTTTACCAGACTTAAGGCGACTTATCGCTGTAACGATATCAGTAACGTTGAATGATTTACTGATATCGTCAGCAGCGCCATCAGTTTTTTGTGATTTTGGGATCCTACTGGAACGGCGTGTTGGTCTGCCATTAACAAGTAGTTGATGTGCTATCTGGTTTGCGGTGACTTGGCTTGGCGGTGCGGGTTGAGGGGACTCACCGGTCAGCTTTCGAATCGTACTCCAAGCCTTTTTACTGTTGTGAGTCATGTCGATGCTAGTAACAGTATTCGTCCACCTCTCTCGTCTGTTTTCGCCTAGTTTAGATAGCAACAATTCTCCAGCAATTGTGGTTGCCTCAGAAAAAGGATCGGATCGGAACAGTGTTTCGTATCGCGTCAGTAATTCACTGGAATCTGTTGACAGCCCCGGAATGTAGGAGGTCCTGCAGCCCCTTGGGATGTGTCTTCGGGAATAAGTTGACACAATCTCGACAAACTGGTCGTAGTTTTGCGGGGTTGGTGGGACATTGAACAGGGCGTCATCGATCGATTGCGTAAACGACCCCCAATCAGCCTTGGCATAGTTGAATCGGCGCTTGAAGGGGACATTTATAGATCGGACCACGGATTCGATGCAGCACATAATTGGTCTATGTTGAGTGCGAGGAATAGGTGAACACACTCTTTTAGTGCACTGTGAGCTGATAGAAGAGCTAGCGAAGATTAAATCAGGATTGTACCCGCGTTTCCAGCGACCACTGTTAAAGGAGGCCGGTTGTTTGGCGTCATGGATTAGTGCCAAATCATTCGACTCAGCCCATTCTTCGACTGCATCTCCACTCATATCCGTGTCGTTGTAGCCCCAGTTGGTGCTGCGGCTGTTGAAGTCACCGATTACAACTTTAATTGGCAGGCTACTAAAGTTCTCTGGCGGAGTGAAGTTAAATGTGGTGCCGGGTGGTTTATAAATGGAAGTGATGGAGCAATTACCAACATCTACTGTGATAATTTCTATGCCGTTCTCGTTTGAGCATTTGGTGGAAAGTATGCTTACGCCTGGAGCAGCAAACACTGCGTTACCGTGCTTTGGGTGACAGATCTCGGCGATAAGCGTGAGTCCATCGATGTGTGGCCGGCTTTGGGTTTCATCTCGATGGGTCTCTTGAACGCAAAGAATGTCGCAGCCAGTTTTGCGGCATAAATTGGAAAGAATTTCCGATTTATCTTGAGAGAACCCTTCGATGTTAATCGAGACTACGCACAAAGCCGGTGTTGGAGGACTTGGAATTGTCATCGTGGTGAAAGGATTAGCCAGTCAGCGTGGGGATTCGCTGACTGCCCAGGGTGCGCCGGACGTATAGTAGATCAGTGGGTACGTCACTCGGGGAGGCTCCTTTCTTGCACCCCCCCCTTATATCTGTTATATCTTATTCATCATACATCATATTATATCTCTTAGAAATAAAATTGCCAAAATACTATGTACAAGTATCGATACTTATAAGTAGCCAGTACTTTTTCTTTGAAATCGATACACTTTATATAACATTCATTACATCATATGCTAACTACTAACGCCATCTAGCAGTTTTTTGTTACTAGGTTCCATTACAAAACTAACCTCTACTTTATATTCCCTTTCCCTTAATACAGACACAAAAGATACTTTTATTAATATTTAATATATACAAACATTTTCCTTTTCCTTTGTGTATACGATAGATATAGTAAGTAAGTAAATATAGATCCCATAGATAATTCAAGTTACATTACTATTTAACTTGGCTTACCTTTTATACTATTCGCGAAATAATATTTGGTTTACTTTAATGTCTTTGAAAATAATACTATAGTAAATATATTTTTGAACAATCTTGCTAAGTCAAAATCTTTATACTTAACCAAACTATTTTTTAATTAAAGCTAATCAGTAATTAAAATGTTTTATGCCGTCTTCAACTAATAAAATATGTATAAAAATTATCGGTATCTTAAAACTATCACGACCTATAATCGTACTCATTATCTTTATTAATATTTTAAAGCGAAAGAGTTCACTTGTTTAGTTGAAAATTATTTTAGTGTAGGATAGCTCATTTATCGAGGAAGGCTATATAACATCCAACCACGACCAACACGAGATGAGCATCAATAAGAAATGTTATAAATACCATACAAAAGCAATGTAAATAAATTAGGACTAATTAAAATTCTAACCTTGTTTAGAATATTTAGAGTTTCGTAACTTTGATTTAGGCACCATATTTTCAGAAATAAAATTAATTCTAAAGTAAGAATATTTTGG